TTGATTTGGTAAGTCCCAGTGACCTGGTTCACCACGAGTTGAGAGTCGCAATGGAGAACGAGTCGTCGAGATCCATACTTGATGGCTAGTTTTAAACCTGCAATAACAGCCTCGTACTCGGCTTCGTTGTTAGTCATCTCGGGGCATCGTATGGACTGGCGAATTGTTTCGCCCATGGGGACCTCGAGAACGAGTCCCAGTCCCGATCCTGAGGCGTTAGCGCCGCCATCAGTGTAAAGAGTCCATAGGTCGGCGTTGGAGGGGGCACGGCGTGCCTCTAATTCCGCCTCTGGTAGTATCTCTACGCTGAAGTCGGCTATGAAGTCGGCAAGTACTTGCGACTTGATGGCGTTTCTTGGATGATACGAGATATCGTGCTCACTGAGCTCTATGGCCCATCTGGCGAGTCTGCCTGATAACTCAGGCTTGTGTAGGATACTTCTTAAGGGGAAGGTCGTCACTACTTTTATGGGGTGGCATTGGAAATAGGGTCGGAGCTTCCGTGAAGCTACGACCAATGCCAAAGCTAATTTTTCAAGGTGTGGATACCGTGTTTCGGCGTCCACTAAGGTTTTGCTAATATAGTAAATAGGAGATTGTGTACCTTCGTTTTCACGAACTAGGACTGCGCTGACGGCGACCTCGGATACGGCTAAATATACCAGCAGTGGCGTCGAGGATAGATACGCTTTCAATTTTCTTAAGGCCTCGACGCATTCCTCATTCCACTGTAACCCGTTGTCCTTTCTCAGCACATTGAAAAACTTATGGCATCTGTCGGAGGACCGTGGGATGAACCTAGACAAGGCGGCTATTCGCCCCGTCAGCTTTTGCACCTGCTTTTTGCTGTTCAGTATCTCGGGTATCGCGTCTATCACCTTGATCTGATCTGGATTGACTTCGATACCTCGTTGTGATATGAGAAACCCTAAGAATTTTCCTGATGCCACGCCGAAGGCGCATTTTTCGGGGTTCAGTTTCATCCCGTACCTTCTCAATATCTCGAAGGTTTCTTTCAGATGGTCGATGTGGTCCTCTTTTCTTGTCGACTTTACCAGCATGTCGTCGATATAGACTTCCATAGTCTTACCGAGCTGCTCTTTGAACATTTTGGTGACCAGCCTCTGGTACGTAGCCCCTGCATTTTTGAGCCCAAAGGGCATTACCTTGTAGCAGTAAGTCCCTTGGTGGGTGATGAAAGTTGTCTTCTCTTGGTCCTCCTCGGCCATCATGATTTGATTGTAGCCGGAGTAGGTGTCTAGGAAGCTCAGTAGTTCATGTCCTGCAGTGGTGTCGATCAGTTGGTCGATGTGGGGTAGTGGGAATGAATCCTTTGGGCATGCTTTGTTCAGATCAGTGAAATCCACACACGTTCTCCACTTCCCGTTTTTCTTTTTGACCATGACGACATTGGCGACCCACTGGGGGTACTTTGATTCTCTGATGGAGCTGTTGGCCAGTAACTCGTCTACTTCCTTACTGACCGCTTCATTGATAGCGGCGTTGAATTTTCTCATCATCTGTCGCACGGGCGGATGTAGTGGATCGACATTCAGCTTGTGGGTGGCGATGTCTCGCGGGATTCCCGGCATATCTGAATGGGAAAAGGCGAACAAATCCACATGGTTAGTTAAGAATTCACAATACTTACTTGGGTTGGTGAGACCGTGCCCGACATAGGCTTTCTTCGTAAGATTGGTTTCGTCCAATTGGACTGGGTCGAGATCTTCGACCGTTGCTTTACAGCCCTCCACGACGTCGGGGTCTTTGATGGCGTCCGTTCTCGGGTTGACCTTAGTCCCCGACACGGCTAATTGATATGCCTCCGCGCTCGCCCCCTTTAGCTGTTGGGTGTGGGCGCAGTCTTGGGCTATTTTGTAGCATTCTTGTAAGGTGCGTGGCTCGCCTCGAATACTGAATACTCCCCATGGGGTAGGGAATTTGATCACTTGGTAGAGGCTTGAAGGGACCGCTCGCATGGCGTGTATCCACGGGCGTCCTATGATGACGTTGTACGCCGTTTCTTGGTTTATCACGTGGAAAGTTGTTTCCAGCGTGACTCCTCCCGCTAAGACAGGCAGTGCTATTTCTCCGGACATCCGTTCCACGTCGGCATCAGACTTATCGAAGGTGATACTATCTTCGAAGTCGTCATACCGTTCATGGGCGATGGTCCGCTTTAGTCTGTGTGTGGTGGCGAACTTGACGTGATTGATCACTGACTCGTCGCCACCTCCGCCGATCATGTTTATCGTGCGCGCTGGGGAAGGTGGCTTCGGCGGCCCGTGGGGTTGTTCTCGTCCGCGTGCAAAGTTGATTTTCTTGCCGTAGGCCTATGCAGCCTTCGGTTTTGTGTCCCCGTTCCTGATGGAACTCACATAGGGCGTTTGATTTCCTTGTGGCAGGGTCTGATTTCATCTTCTGCGGCCACTGCACCTTGGTGCCTAGCTTCTCTAGTGCGTACACTATTTTTGAAAGAGATACACAAAAGTTATGGGCGGTTAATAAAGGGGGTGTACCTCTTTCGTTTCGGAGTGGGGCGACGTGTCGCTGTAGCGCGTCTGTATGCCTTGGTGGCGGATGGGAGGATCTGGTGTATGGCTGATGTCGATCTCTATTGGAGCGGGGGAGTTATTCTCGTCGTCCTTCGTTCCGTCGATCTCTCCTCGTTTCTAAGTGTATCGCTGTTAGCCGTTGGGTCGGCCCATTAAGACCGTCCTCGTCCGCTCGTACCTCGGCGCAATAGGCGTTGTAGATTTCCTCCCATGTGGTAGGGGGATATTTCATGAGGCGGCTCAGCAGCTTCTTGGTTGCCCTCGAACCATCCCTTCTTAGCCCGTTCTGGAAAGCGGCGACTGCCATACCTTCCGATGCGTTTGGTAGACTCATCCTTACCCTGTTAAACCTTGCCAGGAAGTCCCTGAGTCCCTCTCCTGTGGTTTGCCTGACGGCGAAGATGTCGTTGACCCTAGCCTCCGCTTTCTTCGCGCCTGCATGGGCTGTGACGAACTTATCCGCCATTTCCTCGAACGTTGATATTGCCTTAGCCGGTAGCTGAGAGTACCATGTCAAGGCCCCTCCTGTCAACGTCTCGCCAAACTTTTTC